ACCCCCAAAGCCCCCAAAACAAACACAAAACACGGTGTAAGTGTTTTTGGGGAGACGATAATGTGACGGACACTTCCACAGCTGGTCCGTCATGTTATTGTGTCCCCAGAAACACTTCCATTATGTTTCGTGTGTTATTTTGCAGTGTAATTGACCTCTCAGGGCCACCGTACTATAAATACTATGAAGGTTTTTTTTAGCAGGGTGTGTCACTACCCGATCGGTACCGGAAACCCGATCGGTACCGTGCGAAATGCCACTACTCCGGGTAGCGACATGGTGTAAAGTTTTAACATGGGAGTAAATGGGGGTTGACTCACCTTTGCAGCAAGCCTCAAGTGGCCATTCATGGAACTGTAATGGAGCGACCTCTATGGAAATATTTTACGTTTTTTTGAGTGAATAAGTTTTATTTTTTTATTTTTTACCATTCCATGAACTCTAAACTTTGAATTATCTCTATGATTAGAAGTACAATTATTTTTGCTGAGTCTGAATATGAAGAAATTGAATTTTTGGGAGATACAATATAAAATGTAAATAAGTCTGGATCTCTATCCCTAAAAAAATCGTATTACTTAACGAAGTCCAGCACAAAAGTGCTTTAGAGTGTGAAAGAACTGAACTGACAGATTTCTTTGATGTAAGAATATTTTTTTCTGCGGTTTGATCGTTTCGTTTTTTTCTCCCTTACACATCACTATTTTTTACTGCTGCGTAACGATACTAAAGGTCAGCATCTTCCTGCTCTGAAACAACAGCCCGTCTGCCAGCTTGATTAAATCAGCTGTGTGATGTGCAGCGTGTGCAGAGCAGGTCGGCAGGTTCACGGATTGATGCGCATCAAAACACTCTGAGGTTTCTTTTCATTCCCGTCTTTTAAGAGCGAGAAAAGAGCTGAGTTGCAGGCCACGCTGTACTTTCCATTACAGCACTAGTTGACTATAGTTTGGACTAAATGGCCACACAAAAACTTCCTAATCTGAGGGCAGCTAACCTTCTCCAGTTGCTCTAAGATGATTATATCTCTGTGTCCTCCTATCTCATGCCACCACCCCAACATTTTTGTCTGCATGAGGGAGCAGGAAGAAGAGTTACCACTTGGAGTGATTAATGTGAAGTAATTGTCTGTGCTGCGTGAGCTGCACTGGGCGGAGTGGAGCTGGGCCTCTTGCTCTGAGGCCTGCTGACTTGACTGATAGGCCATTAACAGCACTACCCTTACACAAGAAGAGGAACTGCCC